GCCAGTGGCTGGAAGGCCGGGAAGCGTAGCATCAAACCACAGCTGGTCACACGAACGGCCGAGAATGAGTTGGGTGAAGATGTGAGGTCTGGCGTGTCAGGTGGAGTCGGCTGGGTGGTTCAATCCTTCCAATCATTGAACTGGCAACTCTATGCAGCGCTTTTGGTCAAGCATGTGTTGCCAACAGCGTACACGATGAGTAGGATTTACTTTCTGGGACAGCTGCCCGGCGGCCAGTGGTTTGGACGTCGCATCACAACTCTACTGGGTGAGCTTGTTGCTGAAGGTGATGGAGGAGGCGTTGATTGTTCCGCTGTACTCTTGCGTTGGAGATATGATTAGTCAAGAGACGATGACCCGAAACAAGGTGTGTTCACTGGCCTTGTGGTCACTCTGATGTGCTATGGTTCTTTCGCCTTTCTGGTCATTATATTTGCGCAGCCACTTGTGATGGTATGGCTCCCCAGGGGGACCTCCGAACTGCTACGGTGACTTACATCCGTTGGGAGAGGGTGGCAGCGGTGAGTCAGGGATTGCAGACTTTCACGCATGTCATCTTTGTCTTGCTGAAGCGGGACAAAGTGATTTTTGGCATGACCGTATTGCAGACCATCTTGACCATTTTCTTTGATTATCTTTTTGCAAGCGAACTCCCTGGCTCCTTCCGCTTTGGAGTCCTTGGTCTGGCCATCTCAGCCACTTGCACCTACACCTTGCTATTTCTCCTTGCTTTGCGCTACCTCCCGAAATTGTTTGTTCCCCCTTTCAATTGGACCTGGCTCATGAAATGGTGGTGTGGGGGTCGATGGGCCGGACTTGCTGGTTTCCTTGCAGAACCTTAGCTACATGATCTTCATCGTGCGGATGGTGAATGTGTTGAACCAGTCTGGAAGCTATTGGCTTGCAAGTAACTTCATGTGGAAATGGCTCCTCCTGCCCTTTTCGGCACACTGGGACATTCTACCTGCATATTTGGTACTTCCTCTAATTCTTTTTGTGATCTGGATGATCAGCAAACCTTCTTGGTCAAGCTTCTTTCACGTGGTCCTCAATGTGAAAGATCCCTCAATGGCACTAAGTATTGTCCAATGGCTTTTGCCCGTCTATTTCTTCTACATGTTTGCTGCTCTGCTGGACTCAATCTTCTACGGCTTTGGCTTCACTGACCAGCTTGCGTTGGTGTCCATCATTACCAACGTTGGGCGGCTGACCCCCGGGTCAGCCTTTCTCTTGTATTCGCTCCAGGTCTATACCTTATCGCATCGGTGCTGTACCTCTTTGGTGCTGGGATTGTCGTTGGCTGTCCCGTGCGCATGCATTTTTCTACTACAGCCTTTTTCCCGGCGACGCAACGGTGAACTTGCTCGGAAGTAATAGGAACGGAAGAGTTTTTGTTTTTTGGATACTTTTCACCTGGGCTCTCTGCAGACTCTATATGTTTTTTGATGGGCAGTACTGGCATGTGCAAAAACAAGATGTACAAAAGATGTACCTACATATTCTTGTATCTCAAGAAAAGCACAGACACTGTCACTCCCGACCTGGCTGCAGGTCAAGCTCGAAGACTAGACAAGCCTGATGCACTGACAAGACAAGATGGCAAATGCAACAACTGATCATAGTCTTAAATTTATGTTTGTTCCAGCTACTATACAAGTTCAAGTACCAGGAGTTTTGAGATAAACACTCTTCCAAGAAACATTAACTGAGCTTTTGGAGAATTTGAGCCAACTCTTCCCTGCTTCTGCTGTAGAATTTCCTGAGCAGGAGGAATTCACGGTTCGAGCTGCAAAGCTCAATGGAGAAGCTTGGGTAAATGCAACATCAACAGTCGACCAATCACAGAGCCATGGAACATGGACATGTAGCAGTATACAAGAGCGCTTAGGGCCTAGGATTTACGTGTCTGATGACACCGACATGATTGGATGCGCTTCCAATCAATTTTCCAGCTCTAAATCAGGATTTGTTCCCCCTACAGAAGTGGCGTGATTGTAACTGTTGGTAGTTTGTTTCCCTTGGTTCAACTTCTGATGCTTCCTTTTTTGTTGCTTCTATTCGAGCTAGCACCGGGAACACCCTGATTTTTCGGCTATTTAGTCTGAAGATCAGCTGCTGAGGTGTTTTCGTTTCGGCATCTCAGGCTTTATCAGACTCGCGCGCGCTGGCTTGGGGGCGACCCAAGACAAATGCGGTGACACTCGCGCCACGCCGAGTCTGGGCTCTCCATGTCTCGCGTGAGTCAGTTTGGGTAGTCCTTGTACTGGTTGTTTTCCACGCGTGACGCGCCGTGATTTTTGGCCCCGCTCTGGCTCGAAGCAACCGGCAGACACAACATTCAAAGCTAGTCATGGCCAGTCCCAATTAGTGACTTAGTGAGCAGGATACCCTGGTCATTCAAGAGCGTAGCTGCGCGAGATGTCCTAGCTCCCTGCTTTGATGAACAGTTGCGTTCGCCCGAAGCAGATACAACAGCCTGGGCGAAGACTAAGAAGCCGCTCCTTTCGTTCGCGACGAATCAGTGGGCCGGTACATGCTTCTAGTCGACCAGCTTCCGCAGCTCTACACACACACATCGACCAGCTGACCAGCTCAGAGGTGTCAGGTGTCAGAGAGAGCTCCGTGTCGAGGATGCCACCGAGAGTTATTCATCGAATTTCATCCAAATGGTGGCATCATCGCATCAAAATCATTCATCAAACAAACCGAGAGTTATCATCTCATCAAACCGAGAGTTATTCACCAAAAGTCTCCTGTTTTTCCCTTCTCGGGCGTTTCCGCTGTTTGAAATACCGTCACACGACCCATGGAGAGCCATTGATTGATCGCAGAGCCGCCATTCCGCCCTCCTCAATGCCGGGGAACCCGGTTTTTTCCGTGCGTTCCTCTTTTTAAATCATGGAGTCGACGATGAAGGGGTGAAATCGTCCACCAACTACGGTGGTTTCAGAGTAAATGGCACAATCCCCACTACATTGGTGCTGGAGGAAGGATCCACACCGGCTAAAAACATCTAGAAAGGGCGCCAGGTGCCATTTCTCACCCAGGAAGCAAATTCCAACATGTGAACAGAAGGTCTCGCTGGGAATCCTTCTTTGGACCTCTCGGACTGAATTCAACGAACTGAACTCACGGCATGAAGAGTCCGGGAAATCGTTGGACAGCTCGTTGGTTCCGAGCGAAGTAGTATTACTTTTGCCCGCAAAAAAAGAGTCTAATTCATGCGGTTGCTCGAATCGGTTCTGGTTTGACTTTCCTTTTTTCTGGCACAAGGACCCGTACTTGGATAGGGGGACCCCCAGAGGTTTGGAAGCCCTCATCGGCAGAAAAAAGACGGGCTCAGGCAAAATCCCCGGAGCTTGGCTCATTTTGTCAGGATTCTTCGGGTTTCCTTTTGTTGACTGTATCTGCTCCTTCATCCGTGATTGATGGAACCCTGAGGACGAGAGGAGGGAGGAGCTTGTCTCGTTGCGTAAGAGTTCCAAAATAGATTTGGCCTTCCTCAGATGTGTTCCTTCAGCACACTGCCACACAGAGTGAGAACTGCGAGTGATTGCTCAGTATAGGTACAGACTTGGCGATGGTTCCGGTTAGCGGCTAGCAAAGAAGAAGATTCCAATTTGGAGGATGATCTCAACGCCGGCTGCGTGTCTCTGTATCTTGGGTCCAACCCTCTGAGTGCGAAAACACCACTGACCAGGACCACGATTTTCCCACTCCCTCGCCCCGGGCTGTGGGCCCTTCCTTTTCCACCTGGAACGCAGTGACCGCACTAAGGCAATGCTGTTCCGAACGCAGTGACCGCAGTGACCCACAACTTGCCTCGGGCTCGGTCCGGCGCCTTGGTCGACTCCCGACGGGTGTGCCGTGGAACCCAAAGGAGCGAGCGCTGAAACCGCCGCTCGCGAGCCTTCGACGCCGCGGGCGGGGAGCGCCGCGGGGAGCGCCGGTCTTGCGGCTCAGGTGGTGCCGTACACGCCGAACCATTGGTGGGATGTCATCTCCTCATGTCGTACCCGCTCCTCCAGGCCCGGGGGGCGGAGGCCGTCCGGACGTTGGGCGTTGGCTGCCTTCGGAGGGTCCGGGAGTGGAGAGACGAGACGGGTTCCGCTGCGCCCAGGCAAAGAGGGCCTTCACCAGAGGCGCCGCAGCGCAACGACGCGGTGGCGCGGAGTTGAAGAATGAACCTCCGATAGTCAGCCTTCAACAGGTCTCCTGCGAGGGTTGTTGGACTGTTATGGCCCTAAGGTAGACTCTTGATTCATGAAACCTTCCATGTGAAGAGGTTTTACCATGTGGTTCTGGGGTGGTTTTATGGATCCAGATTCTACATGAAGAGTCATGAAGAGTCCCAGTGGACAACCCAAGTAATCGGGTCGGCTCCTGGGATTGCTTGGGAAGCACCAACGGGGGACCGTGGCGAGACACACCATCTTTGTCAGGCCTTGGAAGAGTCGCTGCACAGCGATTCCGCGCGAAGCAAACGCTTGGTCAGCCGGCCGCCCCAGCCGTGGCAGTCACCATGGGGGTTTGGAAGCAAGGTCGTTTTGCATGACTTGCCAGCTACCATGCCGCTGATGGGAGATGATTTGGGGTCATGTGATCTGAGATTCAGCTGGAAGAGAACCATGTGAACCGTAAAGCAACACCCACGCCCGACCACTCCAGGTGCATCTCCCCCCCGAAAGCACCCAGGTCGCCACATTGCGAGTTTGCCCGGGAAGACACACCTTCTGGCGTGCTCTGCTCAGCAGAGATGATCGATTCATGGCCTTTTTCTATTTTTTTTCGGCGCGGGGTGGCCGACCAAAAAGGGTTCCGCTCTTGGACCTAGGTTTTGAGCAAAGTGCCTCCAACGGCAAATCAATACAATGTCCCAGGTCAAAAACACTGAAGAGAGATTTTGGGAAGGAGTCTGTCAGTTGGGAAGTCTCATTCTCTTCAACCTGCTTGGCAGATATGTGGCTCTTGACCCCTTTAAAGGGCATTTAGGGTGCCAAATGCAGCACCGGCCGGCCAGCACATTTGAAGCAGCGCCGCGCTTATACAACGAGAAGACCAAGAAAGCGGAGTATGCCTTCTTTGAGGGCACCAGCCTGAAGTTTCTTCAAACCACTGCAAAGATGCTTGAGAAAGAGAGGTTTGAAAAGCAGGATTATGTCTTCAAAGAAGGTGAAATGGGTTTCAGCATGTACTTCATTTGCTCCGGGAGTATTGTCATCTCTAAGGGCTCCGATATCTCGGATGTGGAGATTCTGTCTCGAGGGAACCACTGTGGTGATTCAGCCGTTTTTGGATTCTCTCGGAGGAGTACTTCAGCAATCGCGAGAGAACATACCGAGTGCCTGGTCTTGAAAAACCGTGTGTTCCAAGCGATCTTGGAGAGGTTTCCCGAAGAGAAGGAATACTTCGCCAAGAGGGCGGATCATAAGAAGAAGGAGCTGAGGAGCGTCGGAAGAATGCAGCAGCGCAGAACTGGACGCAATTTCAGGCCCAAACGCGCCTGGGGAGGATCTCATGAGTCCTCCAGTGACTCAGACCGTGATGCGGCCGATGATCCTGCTCCAGTGCTGCCCAGCGAGGATGCCGCTCCGTTGCCCGACACCGAGATTCCGGGAGCGTATCCCGAGCTGAAGAAGATGAACATTTTGGACCTCCAAAAACCTCCCAGGCACGGTCCGGAGCAGCTGGTGCCCCCGGCACCAGCGAAGCTTCCTGAAGATCGCCACTTTCAAGCTCGCATGGGCAAGGAGTTGGCGACCGTGGGCCGCACCGCCTTTCTGCGCAAGATGGCAGTGGCGGAGGCGCTCAAAGAGGAGATGGCGCCGTTCGGCTCCAACAGCTTGAGACCACAAGGTGCAGGTGCTTGGAAGGTGGACAAGAAGACCATTGAGGAGGAGAAGGGCGAGAGAAATGCCAGCAAGGAGCGTGCGTCGTCCAAGTCACCTCGACCTCCAGCGGTGAAGAAGGCCTTGGAGGAGGATGATTTTGACTTGAACTTCGACCTGAACAACATCGACCTCAATGCGATTGATCCCTGGAGACGTGCTGTATCAGCCTAGGTCCTGGTGGCATGGGTGGTCTCCACCGTGTTTCCATAGGGATGTTTAAACAACAGAGATGCAGAGATGATATGAGGGAGTTTGGATCAAACAGATCAAGAATACCACCTTGAGATACCTTTGGGCTTCTCTGTTTCCAGACATCCCGCTCCTTTCGGGGAGGCCGTCCGGTGCCATCCCTTTTTCAACCTTTCTGAACGCGTCCGAGGCCGTCCGAGGCTCATGGGTGCCCGGGTTCTCTTTGACGTCGCTGATCTTCCGGACCAGGCACCCACCATGTGGAACGTGCCTCGTCGTTGTGGCGATGATTTTGGGGAACGTGCCTCCAGAGAGGCCGGATGGAATGCATCTTCGTCTCCAGACGTGAAAAGACCTAATTCGTTTCGTTTCAAGAACCCGTGTGAGCCATCGGGCTGCATCTTCAAGTTGTGTTTCAAGGTGTTTTAGCTCGAGGAGATCTGCAAAGCAGGGCCTCCTTCCATTGCTTTTAAGAACGCTCCATAAGGCGTGTGATACTATTACAGAAAAATAACTGTATATAGTATAGTATCGACATCAGCAGGCGCTAAACATTCCTTGTCACACCTTTCCTCCATTGAGGCTTCTATGGAGCACAGCACAGTACAGCCGCTTTCACCACCTCCAAGAGATATAGCTCAAGCGCTCACAGCGCCATGCTTGACGCTTGACGTTTGGTGATTCACGGCACATTTGTACAGAGGGTCGACAGACAGGGTCGACGTCTCGTTTGTGAGGAAACAGGGAAACATCGGGTCGACTCGCCCCTGATGCCGGTCGTCCCTCCGCTGAACCCTCGTGTCGTTACGCGGGTGCGGCACCGAGCGCCCGTGCTGACTGGAGGTACTCCATTGTGCACGACTGTGAGTCTGGGAACAGCACTGGGTCGAGGCCCGAAGCGAAGCTAGCGAGTAGGCGGCACACGGAGGTTCGCGTGAGTCGTCACGTTCTTCTCGTGGTTCCGACTCGTGGCTTTCTCCGACTTAGACCGGTCGTGTAGAGGCCATTGGTGTACCATTTTGGACGTCAGTGATGTAGCACCTGGTCACCAGGTCTGTAACTGTCATTGCACCTGCGGCTGTTTCTGATTTGCCAGGCTTCCTCGTGCCCACTTTGTGCCCTGCAACACGTGCGGCCGCCTGTGATATTCCGAGATGGCTTCCCATGACACGAGCACTTGTTGCTCAATCGCCATCTTGTTTCTGCAAGGGCATCAGAAGATGTGTGACACAAGTAACAAGGACTACCTGCGTTTTGTTCTCTTTTCCTGCCATAACACGGTGTTTCGATGTCTTTTGACTGGGGCAGGCTTCAAGCCAGGTCCACTGGTCCACCCGAGTCCACCCGTCCCCTCTTTGCTTTCCTTGCTGCCTCGACACCCAGGAAGCGCACGGCACGTGTCACAGCACATTCGAAGCCTATTCGACACAGGCAAAAGAAAGGCCCACTCGCCAAGGAGCCAACAAGGTCACCTTCCAGTCAATGTGAGCTTCGCAGTGTTGAGGACGAGGACGACTGCGGCGCCGTAAAAGAACGACTGCGGCGCCACTCAGGACTGCGGCCGTGCCGATTGAGAACGAGAACTTCAAGGGAGAGGTCTTACTCCTATATCGGCCCACCGAAGGGTTCGAAGCCCAGACCAAGCCGAACGCCGGCTTCGCCTGCTTCGCGAGACGTGATAGACGGACCTCGTCAGTTTATTCCGAGGTCAGGACGGCGAACACATGAGCTCACAGGTGAACAAAATCGTTCACATGAAAGCAGAACAACCCATATAGAAGACCCATAGGTTTGAGGGTGAACACCGGGATTTCACTGGATACTTCCTGTCAATGTTGTCTTCCTTCGCTGAGTTGGCGAAGAATCGGTCCAGCTGTCGCCTGAACTGGTGCCACTGAAAAAGGGGTCAGCCGCTGAGGCTCGATCGGGGCCATCCCTACTATGAGCACTTCCGTCATCGGAAGCGGAACTGGGAGCTCCGGCTCCAGGGGAAGTTCAAGAAGGCCCCGCCCGTGGCGCGCTCCCCGTGCTGCGCTCCCGTCCCCGCGACGGAGCCGGTGCGATATGGAGGGTTCTGGTCACTTGGAGTGAAGGTCTTTTTTTTCCCAAAAGCTGTGAGGTCCAAGAAGGCCTCGTAGTCTTGAAGAAACCATCAAACACCCACGATTCGTAGCAAGTGGATGCCAGGACTGGAAAGAAGACTTTGAACAAATGGAAAACAACAGGTGTGACCTTTTTGTGTCCAGCTGTTGATTGGATGTTCACGAGGCGCCTCGCGGGCAGTTGTTTGTAGGGGCAGTGCTGCGTGATTTCAACTACGTCAGAGACCAAGCCGGTTTAGCAAACTCATGTGAGATACTGACACAGTGTCGTGCTTTTTTACAACTGCTCACTCTTGCAACTTTACTCCCGACCTTTCTCCTCTCATAGCATGTGCTTGACCTTCTGAGGATCAGCCAGTGGCCTCTTCATCAATCCTTGCAATGAATACTGCAATTACGCTGGTGAAGTACCAGTATAGGCAGGCCTTGCTCGTTTGTTTTTTTGATCATACCCCCGGAACGCCCAGCGCTTCGTGGATTCTGAGACACCTTGCTGTCAGGATCTATTTCTCCTGGGGAGCACGCTGTCAGGTGCGTTTGGTTCTAGTTGAACATCGGGCTTGGTTGACCACGGGGGCGTGCAAACATTGTATTCATTATCCTTGGTCTTCTCCTGCGCCGGCCCACTGTTGACTGCAGGAAGCCTTGCGCACAGACGCTGAACTCGGGCATGCTGTGTCGCTGGATGCCCAGATTTTTGCGATGTAAGCGTTTTTCGGAACCCCTGGTTCTGGATGAAAGATGATGCGGTAGCAAGGTTGATTGGAAAGGATGGGAGCGCTTCCAATTGGATTTTGGTCTTCTAACATCTTCCAACGATGGGCTCCTGGAGAGTCAGTCGTAGCCGCTACCGCTACCCAGGGACCTCACGGTCTTTGACCAGATTATCATCACTCCAAATGGGAGGCGTGCCACTAGAGAGATGTTCTTGTTGCTCCGAGACAGGCATGGTGAGGAGAGGAGGAGAGGATGCCGTTCTTCCCCACCCCAGTTCCTGTCCCTTGCTGACTTGACAGCTGGCACCTCCAATATCCTTTTCAAGTCCGGGTGAGTGACTGAGTGAGTGAGTGAGTG